TGCATGCAGTGCTTCGCCTACTTGGAGTACACACTGTACCGAGCCGGTTGCACCTAAATCCCCTAGAACTTCGTAAAGTAGCAACACTCTCCTCCTCCACTCGCACTTCTCCTCGGTCTCCTCTCCTCTGCATTCGCATTTCGAACGTGGTGGTCCTGGCAGCGAACGGAGGCGCGTTTGGGCTGTCGCGTCATGTAAGCATGTGCTACACTTGCTGTCTCGGTGCCCGCAATCCACACTGAACTCCGCAACAATAAGATGCTTTCATTTTTGCAAAGAGGTGCACTCTGAATACGGTCCCACACAATGATAAGGCAGCAGCGATCGGCGCCTCAGCACTTTCAGGCAGTCGCCGGTTACTAAAAGCGTGCAGTAGGTTTAAAGCGGCTCTACGCCACATACGTAGACTTTTTGTCGGCGATAAGTCATACTGGCGTGCCTTTCGGTAGTCGCCACATCGCCTCCGTTCTTTGCTAATGGTCATCAGAAAGGGCCTTGCCGAAATCGCACGGAAGTCGGAATAATTGATCGGCTGATTTCGTGCTTTTGCAGCAGTGCAACTACTATATGCAAATACAGCCAACGTTTCCAGAACCTGAATACAGCAGCGCACATGTAAAAGATGGCGACCACCGCGTATTATCTGCTCACGATGCATGCTGTCAACATTACTTTCTGTTTCAGAGCCAGGTTGTGGTGCAGCAATGGTGCAAATTAGACAAAAAAGACGCTTTTGGAGCAGTATGGAGCAGTAATTTCCAGTTGGTGCAGGTTGGTGCAATTGGCGCAGGTTTTTCACTAGTGAAGTTAGGATAGGCTCAAAGGTGGCAGTCCTGAGTGTTTCCGTTCTAAAGAACATAATCCATTGTGTTCTCCACGAGTGCCACAGTTCTACCGCATTTTGTGCAGATACAGTTACTCGTACTCATCATTTGTAGAAGCTCCAAATGAGTCTAAATGTAGCCATTGTCCTTACAGGTAATACTTTGTCCTCGGAGTGACGAGTAGTGAGGACAAAGCTCACTTCCTGATGAGCTCGCAGGAGTGCTCCTGGCCTCATTTATCATCAGTAGCCAAAGTGCGACAATTTCAAATTATACTGTACTGTTCGAACAATTTCTATGATTTATCAACTTGAGAATACTTCTTGCCATTGCAACAAAATCAACAAAGGCACTACTAAACTAAAAATAAATGCACATAACTGCATCCCACACACTCAGGGCAAGATGATTTGGTAAACTCCATGCGTGTTCAAAAAAAAAAAAAAAACACTGCGCCATATGATTTCAAATTGCTGAAATACTTTTCTTTAAAACCTGCTAAGCTCATGAAGACTACCAATTTCTATAACGAAAAAAATTCAGCTGAGGCAGAAAGATCACAGATCACGTGCACAGTCCGAGAAAAAGGCACTTGGCTGCTCGTCAGTCGGTCTTGAAGACCTGGTATTTTTCGCTCAATCATGGCCTAAAAGATGTGTAGCACAGGCCTCATTATCCTGCGCATGCAAAAAACCCGATTTCGATTATTAAAACTTTTACCCTTCCCAGTGTCCTTAAGGGCATAAGAAAATTACAGCATTCTTTTCAATATAAACTGAATTTCCCACATTTAATTTGACTTCTACTGTGCACAATGACGTTCCGTATTCCACTGAATATTCAGTTTAGTTCTCTGTATGTGCTTGTGGCTCCCCCCCCCCCCCCCCTCTTTTTTTTTGAAAAGCAGATTGTCCTGAAAAAGTTTGGGAGACATTTACCTAGAAAAAAAGTGTGACCGTCGAAGGAGGTGGGCAAATGTTCTGTGTGCCTGGTGGCATGACAAAAAAAAAACCATCTGACATATCATATCATGACCAGCATAATCCCAGAGAAAATAGGTGAGAAATGTGATAACAGACAGTGCATGCTACAATTAGCTTTAACACATCTATGCACAAGAGGAGTCATATAGGATGTATGTAAGGCTTCCTACTGTTGACTGTGTCAACTCAAGTCATCCCCAGGCAAAGTGTGCTTGTTTTTGCGTGTATTTCTAACATGTTTTGTATGAAATGACCTTTGTACTTTTCCCCCAAAAGCAATAATACTGCCACGTTCCATTTCCCAAGTTCTTGTTATCGTCGCAAAACACCACACGATTCTCAGCGAAACCGCGCCTGCAGTTTTCGAGAAGGTTCCGGACTGTAGTAGATCATTTCGATAAGATCACGCCCACTGTGCGAACGGTACAGATTGTTCTGGAACCTACGCCAAAACCAGTGATAACGCCAGAACATTTGACGGCAAGAGTATAAATGCCGATGCGCTTCGCCGCTTGTCAGTTGTTGATCGAAGGCCGACGCTCCGTTCGCCGCTATCAGTCCGAGACTGCTATCTGTGTGAGACTGCTGCTGTAATTGGACTTTCCGTTTACCGGGCACAGGTTCGCCCAAATAAACAGTTAGATCCCAACACGAAGTCTCCTGTCTTCGGCCACGTCATGACCCCGTGACATCTGGTGGAGGTGCGGGGTCGATACCTCCATTGCCGGACGACAGCGTACCACCCACAGACCAAGGGCCTCACCGAGCGGCTTAACAAGACATTGTTCTGGAACCTACGCCACCGCCAGTGATAACGCTAGAACATTTGACGGCAAGAGTATAAATGCCGACGCGCTTCGCCGCTTGTCAGGTGTTGATCGAAGGCCGACGCTCCGTTCGCCGCTATCAGTCCGAGACTGCTATCTGTGCGAGACTGCTGCTGTAATTGGACTTTCCGTTTACCGGGCACAGGTTGGCCCAAATAAACAGTTAAATCCCAACACGAAGTCTCCTGTCTTCGGCCACGTCACGACCCCGTGACATCTGGTGGAGGTGCGGGGTCGACACCTCCATTGCCGGACGACAGCGTACCACCCACAGACCAACGGCCTCACCGAGCGGCTTAACAAGACGATCGCCGACATGCTGTCAATGTACGTCGATGTCGAACACAAGACGTGGGACGCCATTCTTCCGTATGTGACCTTCGCATACAACACGGCGGTGCAGGAGACGATGCAGATATCTCCATACAAATTGGTCTACGGAAGGAGCCCGGCAACGACGCTCGATGCCATGTTACCCAACGTCACCGACGAAGAAAACCTCGATGTGAGCGAGTACCTTCAACGCGCCAAAGAAGCCCGACAACTTGCGCGTCTCCGTATCAAGAATCAACAGACGACCGACAGCCACCGTTACAACCTTCGACGACGCTTTGTGGAATACCAGCCTGGTGAACGTGTTTGGGTGTGGACGCCGATACGCCGACGTGGACTAAGTGAAAAGCTTCTGCGACGGTACTTCGGACCGTACAGGGTGGTTCGATGTCTCGGCCCACTTGATTACGAGGTTGTCCCCGACGGCATCACAAACTCTCAACGACGCCGATCGCGACCTGAAGTCGTCCATGTCGCGCGCCTCAAGCCGTTTCATGCGCGGTAACAAACTGAAACAGTGGTTTTTTTTGTATTATTGTTGTATCGTAATTTATTCATTGTACTTTCTTGCATTATTTATTGTACCTTCATCTTTAGTTAAAGCATCGGGACGATGCCTTTTTTCAGAGGGGGGCAATGCCATGTTCTATTTCCCAAGTTTTTGTTATCGTCGCAAAACACCACACGATTCTCAGCGCAAACCGCGCCTGCAGTTTTTGAGAAGGTTCCGGACTGTAGTAGATCATTTGGATAAGATCCCGCCCACTGTGCAAACGGTACAGATTGTTCTGGAACCTACGCCACCGCCAGCGATAATGCTAGAACATTCGACGGCAAGAGTATAAATGCCGACGCGCTTCGCTGCTTGTCAGTTGTTGATCGAAGGCCGACGCTCTGTTCGCCGCTATCAGTCCGAGACTGCTATCTGTGCGAGACTGCTGCTGTAATTGGTCTTTCCGTTTACCAGGCACAGGTTCGCCCAAATAAACAGTTAAATCCCAACACGAAGTCTCCTGTCTTCGGCCACGTCACGACCCCGTGACAATACGTCGAAACTTGAAGTAGTAAATATTTACCCCCCCATACACATAAAAGGAAAAGGGTGCACATGTGAAATGATGTTTATGGCGCAGAATAAGATACAATATACAGCATACATTTTTAACTTCCTCTCATTAAATAAATGTTGTCATTAAGTCTGGATATGAGTAGTCCTTTCAGTGAATAAACTTAGTGCACAAGACAAAAAATATAAACAAATAGGAGTGATAAAGATAAACGTGTCATTTTCCAACACTTCCAAGTATTTATTTTTGTATATACAGCTGGAACCTGCAATAACGAAATCGGCAGGGAAAGCAAAACATTTTGCTCTCATTAAAATTTTGTTGGCGCGGGAATGCAGAAGAAAAGACAGGGAATTGACTAAAAGCACATTGCCAAAATTTAATATGCTTACTTCGCCGAGCTTTTCCCCAAGAGCAATGTAGCTCTTGACTCACATAGTCAAAAATGGTTCATTAGAGCAGTTTTCGAATGCAGTTAATGATAATAGATTATTTGCACACTCCGATTTCAAAAATATCATTATTGAGGGAATGCAGTAAGAGTATCTTTTGTAGTTGCGAATTACTAAATGCATTCACTCCGCCAGTGCTCCAAAAAAAGTTTGTTGCAGTGAGAATTTCATTCCCTCAGAATATTGTTATCGCGGATTTCAACTATCTTTTGTGAGCTGAGGTCATGCCACATTAATCTAGAAGTAAAAATCAAACACACAAAATGATAATTAAAAAGAGAGAGAGACCACAAAGGTGTAGAGTTTTTACACCCTTTTGGCAGCAGTTTTAAGATTTCTTAATGTAACTGCAGCATCAACTACACATTCCCAATATTCGCAAAAGTACGGTGAGAAGCAGCAGTCTCCATACCCTTAAAGAGTTGTACATGATGTTATTCACTTCATTTGTATCATTCTGTTGAGATACAAAAAGAGGCAGGAAAAAAAAACAGCATTAACAAATTTGTCACACCTGTGGTCACCAACAGCAACTGCATACGGTGGTGGAGGCTCTCGAAACCAAAAGTCTGGTGGAGCACTGTCCGCAAACAGTGGAGGAGAGTCCATAGGGCCCTCGGAAGCTGCCGCTTGCTGCTGTGCCAGCCGCAATGCATACAGCCGGCATGAGCAGCTGACAGCCACCACAACAAGCAACCCACAGAACAGGGATCCAATGATAGCTGCCGTTATCATGCTGTTCCTCAAACCTGGGAAAAACATTAACACCCAATAACTTCAAAAGACAACACAATTTAATTCAGAGGTTACACACCACAGGCGTGATGACACTGCAGTTAAATTTATTCAGCGTGATGGCGCTGCAGTTAAATTTATTCAAACTTGTTCAGTAATAAACCAATTAATAAAGTTCCTTCAGTAAAGCCCTCCCTAGAAAATCACCCCACCCCAAGAGTTGCAATATGTGTTAAAATTTGAAGTGAGACGTGGTGATAAGGGTCCTTTAACATAAACCTAAATACAAATAACCAAGTTTTTTGTGATCTTGCCCCCATTGAACTAAGACCACCCGACTTCGCACTAAAGCCTTCACCATGCCAACTGACTGCATTCAGCTCAGCTGTATTTCTCCTTAGATCTTTTTAAGATCACGCTTAAATGTTTTGAATTTTTACAGCCTAGAGAGCTTCGCAAAGCAGCCCATCTACAATACTACTCACAAAATAAAAAGAGTTGTTCACTATGGTACCAAAAGCTGGCGGTTACCTGGTTACCATATCAATGCAGTTGAATATGCTCACAATTTGAACATTACATACTTTTCACAGTAATTATCGTTTCGTTTAGTTATTAGCCACTCCGCTTTATGAAACTACAGCTCATTTGATGAATTTGCTATGGAGAACCTGCATTTTTAATAACAGGAGCATGCATAGTAACAGTTATGCATGCACAACAGGAGCAAAATAGTACAGAGCATGCATAGTTGACTGCTTCCAGCATTGATTTCCATCAATGCATGGCCGTTGCAGCTCTGCAAAATGTCAAAAGTCTTAACTTAAACTTGCCTTGAAAGTGTTCTAGAAAGTGCATGAAAATTTTGGTTGTGTAAGCATCGCGCTGTATATTACATACACCGTATTTATTCGATTGTAACACAACCATGATTGTAACGCGAGGGGTGACATTTCATTACGTCTAGGAAAAAAAAAAGAAGAGGGGGGCTTTGGTACTCAGTACGCAAGGGTTGATATTAATAGCGAAAATCTGAAAAAAAAAAAGCGGCACATTCAAGTAAATATGGTATTCAATCTGCTTGTCACGTTCGTTCTTCGCCAATACAGCCCACAAACTTCGAAGCATAGTAACTTTCTAGCATGTGCAGATCTCTTGCAGAGATATCGTACTTATATATGTAGAGCAAATCAACATGAAAAAAAAAGAAAGCCCATTTGAGAATATATATGGCCCAGCATTAAAAGCAAAGCCCGTACACTTTGATCTGACTTTCCAATGAGCACAAGGTTATATAAAAGTGCGAAACCATTTTTTTCCCCCACCACGCGAAATCTACACCAACAGCGCGGCAGCCTGTTTGATCCTCCATGGGAGCACCGCAGTGCGGAGAAAAGAGCAGGCCATGCCCACCTCTAGAAACATGCTATCTTTGTGTGATTGGGACGGCCAGAGAGAAACACGCTGCGCGCCATGGAAGAACCATGGTGTCCAAGATGGCAGAAAATTGTTCAGTGGCCGTTGTTGCTGCTGTGGCTCCCGCTACTTTTGCTCTGCTGTAACTACTGTCGGTGGCTGCGCATTAAAAAAATATGGGCAGCGTTGTCCATGGCAACGGTGATGCGAGACAGACTGCTTTCAGATGGGAGATTTTAAGTGCGGTAACGCAATGTGGACCACTAAAACGCTATTTCATTTCAAAATAAGCACTTCCTTGCACAAAAATAGCATTATGAGGTTTCCGGACCACTATTTCAGCAATCAACATAGATTTAATATTTGTCTTTAGTGTCGCTTTATGCCTTTCAACAGATGGTCTCTTCATAAAAATGACCACGCAGCCCTCAAAAAAAAAAAAAAGTCGGCCCGTTTTTATCGTTTTTGCATATTTTTTTTTCTAAACATAAGGGGTTACTACCCTACTCCCCAATTTTACATCTCTGACTGACACACAGGCCTACTCGTAAACCTCTGGAAGAGCATGAATAAAGTAATGCTTTGGAAACCTTGGCATCTTTACGGGCTAATGCATGGCACGCTATGCTGTTAAGAGAAATATATCTAGTTAGCCTTGACTACAACAATAAGATTACCTAACCAGACAGAATGAAGCACAGAAATTTTTCAGGGCTTGTTACTATGCTTGACATAACCTTAATGTTGGTTTTATTAACCTAATAGAGCTATGTTAGCTCAAATAAAAACTTATGCATCAACTTACGCATCATGCTGCAAATAAGAAGCAGATTGCAAGAACAAATAATTATCACTCATAGAAACTAACGCAGAAAATTAAAATAAACAATCTGACTTACACTGAGATGAAACCCACACCCAACACATGTATTGGGTCAGTGATGTGCTATTTTTATACCAACCTCATTGCTCTTTTTGCAATCACCAGTAATCTCTGAAGTGCTTTACAAAAAATATACATGCAATTTTCAGCTAATTCATCTGATTAATCACAAAAGCCTTGTCTGAAATGAATTTCACCTTTCACCTATCTCCAATCCAGCCTCACATCATTTCAAAAATAAAAACTCTTGAAAAGCTACCATGTTATCACAATCTCGACAGCAGAACCACAACAAGTGCACAAACACATGAAAAAAAAAAAAGTGCACAGGAAGCAAGTGTGATGCAAGTGTTTTTAGACTCACTATTTTAAGGATGCCCAACTAGGGCCATATCAAGTCCTTTAAGAAAGACACGGGTGTTGGCGACGACTTCAACGGAAGCATGTATTTCAAGGACCAACACATTACCAATGCACATTCCTAGTTTACAGTGCAGTTAGCTTTTCTATTACCACAGCAAAATGAACATGTTTAGGGGTATAAACAAAAAAATCATTTCTTGCCACATAGAATGCTTTAGTGTATAATATGCAGTTATCAATTTAGAAATTCGCCCCACTGTGGTGGTCTAGTGGCTAAGGTACCCTGCTGCTGACCCGCAGGTCGCGGGATCAAATCCCGGCTGCTGCGGCAGCATTTTTGATAGAGGCGAAAATGCTGTAGGCCCGTGTTCTCAGATTTAGATGCATGTTAAGGAACCCAAGATGGTCTTGATTTTTACAGCCCTACACTATGGAGTCTCCCATAATCATATGGTAGTTTTGGGACGTTAAACCCCACATATCAATCAATAAATTGCAGAAATCCAATTGCCACTTTGAAATACACAGGTCGCAATAGAAAAATAATAACTAGGCGGCAAAATGTTCTTTGGTAATAAGCAAACATTACCAAAGTAGACATTTTGTGGCCACATAAATAACAGACAATTCATTTATCTAGAAAAAATTATTAAAAAGCTAAATAAACCTGATTCATAGAAAAATGTCCAAAGATGTCCTTAAAAACAATATAAGTGGTTCGAAGTAAACAATGGTTTAAAAGCACAAATGTTTAGAAATTATACAGCGAGCTTCCCAGAAAATGACAATCTCGGTGATGTCATCCACTGAAGCCACTTTGGCACAGCTCTTGGAGCAGTTATCAAGTAAACATTTAAAAATTTTGAAAAAAACTCCCAAGCATTTCCCCGTGGGTAAACATGGTTAAGTGCGAATACACGGGGTGATGCTATGAGGGGTATTTATTAATTCGCACTATTATATTTATTAATCACACTATGGTGCCTTTATGGTGTAATGGTTCCTGGGAATCGCAATTTGATCACACGGGGAAGTCTACGTTAACTCACTGGCGAATGCCAACGGATTTTAACTTTACTCCCCCTCACGACCCGCTCTCGACGGGAGACAGAGAGAAGGCAGGCACGCGAGAGAGAGGGGTGCGCGCGCAGCTGCAGCGAGTGAGGAGAGCGGAGGAGCGAGCGAATGGGGAGGGGGTATAAGGCGCGTTACTGACACCGATATCAGCGTCGCGTCCGTGGCTTATTCGGTAGAGCGTCGCGCTGCGGCCCGCCAAGTCCTCTTTCTTTTAAAGATAGAGAGAAGACTGCGCACGCCGCCGACGGCGGTGGATGGTTTGGGGTCGCTTATAAAGTGTATTCACACTTAATATTTTACTCTAATCTGGATCGGTTGCACATGTTTAACAAAATTGGATTATACACAAATACACGCATCTTTACTTAGAGTACCCCAAAATATGAAATGAAGCTATACTGCTTGTCGTTTTCCTGCATACAGCCCCAAGTTCCTTTAGAGCCGTGACCTCAGGCCACCTAGCGTTGTGGCCTGAGGTCATTTATGGCTATAGGTGGCCTATAGGTGGCCTCAGGCCATTTGTATGGGAAATTTACACGGCTCCTATAAAAGCTATTTAAATTTCCTGAGCATTGTACTTACTATTAAAAATAATTTTTCCAATAACACTAGTACTTTCAGTACAACCTAGGTCATCGCTGCATGGTGTATTGCTAGCTTTCATTCTTTACAAAGAGATTTGTTCCAATAGCACTTGGACTTGGACGAGTGGATACATACTCCGATAGGCTTCAGCGCGAATCAGACAAAGACAAAGACACACAGAACACAGATGAGCGCTTGTCTGTGTTCTGTGTGTCTTCTTTGTCTTCGTCAAACTCGCGTTAAAGTCTATTCGATTACAGGGAGAATCGTTAAAATCCTGGCTCATAGGCGATTCTGAAATAGTGGGTTTAATGACTGGTTCTTGGTGTCTGAAATCTATTTGGTGCTCCATGAAATTTGCTGTAATAAGAGGCCTCAGCAAGTTCTCAAACAAGAGCTTTCGCTGCAGTCAAGAAATAAAGAGCCAATGCACTGGGATGCTGGGACACCATGCTAGGGAAAATCAGACAATCCACTGCAGCACGTGGAATCATTGTTGAAACTAATAAACCAGCTTTTCATACTATTACATATGAACTTAGAGTAGTTTTGATGTATGGTCTAGTAGCAGAAGATCGCTTTCTTTATGGAGTATGGGCGAGCTTCAATCAATAAAATTCAGACTGGCCCGAGACTAAGCCAGTCTGAATTGTGCCCGTCCTCGTTCCCTCCATGTCCATGTTTCTTTTATACAGCACCTTGTTTAACAGTCTGAATTCTTTCGCAGGGTTGAGCTTTGCAATTACTTCAACTGCATAGCACTTGCAAGTATGCTCCAATCACAACTCCTTAACTTATATATGGCCTGCAATGATTTTGTCTTCTTTTTCTCTGAAATACTGCTAGAATGGTTTTGGTGCATGCTGATTGCAAACTAAGAGATTTTTGCAAAAATGTAGCAGCCTCCTGGCACAGTTTGACGCAATTGGCGGATCCATCACATCAGTACTAGCAAAGACAACATGGGCCCATCTAGGAAATAGTGCAGTTTAGAGCTAACATGAGTTAGTTGAAAAACAAGAAAATAATAAACATCACAAAAAATGGAAAGGGAATTCAAAATATATAAATAGAGAAAGTTTGACATTGCGTAATAGGTTTGGTTTTTAGTGTGGTGTTGCTACAAAGCCGTACTCCTACTGCAGTTGAACCCCTTTATTAAGAGAAATGCACTGAGGAACAGTTCTTGTCCTTCATACAAGGAGTCTCTTATAAGCAGAGTATCATGTTCTTATTATATGATCTGCCTTCGTAAGCACACTTCTGTCTCTTATACCCCATTGTCTGTTACATCAGCGTCTTTTATAAATAAGTTTAATAGCCTGCAAATTTCTCCTAATTAAGGTACCCACATAGCTAATCTTATACTCCATAGATTTCGAATATACTACAGTAAAATCCCAAGCAAGTGCCCATACCTGCGCAAACGTTCTCCTGCGTCCTTCAGGAGATTTGCCTTATGTGTATTCTTCTCCCTTCCAACCATTTTCACTGTTTCATTTAATGTTTTTACTAAAACAGTGAATGCATGCGTACTTAATGAAGCATTTCATTAGAAGCACGGATGTGCATGCTTTATTCATAGCAGCTCTTCCACTGTTGTCTTGGATTTTGATCAATGACTGAGCAAGCACCTCCTCTACTAATCTTGTTGAATCATCTGATTTGAAATATATTTTGATCCAGCGAGCATACTAAAAATCCTCTTAATATTGAGGCTTTCCAACATATATATGGAACATGGCTATTAATACAAAAAACCACAAAACATGCTTACATCCATACTCATCGCTGCCATCTGGGCAATCTGTCACCCGGTCACAAACAGAATCTTCGGTAACACACCTTCCGTCACCACACAAATAAGCACCTCTTTCAGAGCGACACTTTTCTGGTCCTGAAACATCAAACAATGGGTACAAGTTAATAGAAGAAGGTAGTCTCCGATTTTGGAGACCAAACTGACGGTAACATAGGCTTGGCAAGCTTACACAAAACACTTTCACGAACTATAACCAACAGCAGGCAGCATGAATGGTAACTTAATTTCACTCAAATGTGCCTCCCTTCTCTCAACTAGTTGCGACAGCTTTCCCGAAAATGTCATTCGCAAAAGTAAACCAGAGTGACATTAACATGCCATTGGCCACAACATTTTGTAATGTTGGCATGTGCACCTCATACCAAGTAAAACCATCATGTGTAAGCTCATGTGGAAAATCGAGCAGATTACAGACAAATTAGTTGCTGCCAACAACCTGATAGCTGACATGCCGTCTGTGACATAACATCAGGTACTACTTGTATTTTATAACACTGAAGTCATCCTTGATAACATTTGGAAATGAACAGCAAATGAATAACTATTAGATGACTCAAACCCTTCGTACAAACCTAGCTTGCCAAAGCACACTTATCCACAACATTGCAATTTAGAAAGCAATTTGAACAAATGGAGCATGCCCATACAGTTTTTTTATTTACCGTATTTTTCGGTGTATAAGACGCGGTTTTTTTCCAAAATTTTCGGAGGTGCGTCTTATACAACGGTGCGTCTTATACGCACTTTTTTGGGTAGTTTTTTGGGAGAAACTCGTGTTGATGCTCATCAGTCTTTTTTTTTAAACCACTAGAGCAGTCCAATGCGAATTATGCATCATAATTATAATAACGAACACTCAACGTGCCGGTACTACAGTTTTAAAACAAAACCAAAGTACATAAAACGGAAAAATTTAAAAAAGTATGTCGTCGTGCGAGTTCTCAGCTCACTGAAGCTGCGCAAGTTTCGGAGGCTGTACCATAGAGAGCTGTACTCAGTGAGTGAAATCGGCGTAAGATGGCGATAGGTGCGCGACGGGTTCGGCGGTTTGGTTCGGATTCGGCCGCTACTGCGGCTACCACCGCTATGCTGTCGTTCAGCGAGTTGGACTAGTCGCCATTTGCAACTTCATTCGTTCGGTTGGTCCGCGCCTTTGTTACCTTCACCTGCAGTATGCCGGCTAAACGGAAAAGTTACACGGCGAAGTTTAAGCTTGCTGCTGTGAAGTATGCAGAGGACTACGGAAACCGGGCAGCGGGCCGTCATTTCGACGTCACGGAGAAGATGGTCCGCACATGGCGACAGTCGACTGATAAGCTTCAGGCCATGAAGAGTGACAAGAAAGCTGACCGCGGCAAGAAAGCACGATGGCCAGACCTTGAGGGACGTCTGCACTCATGGATACTGGAGCAGCGTGCCCAAGGTAGGGCGATGTCAACGGTGCAGCTGCGTCTCAAAGCGCAGGCGCTAGCTAAGGAGGTGGGCGCCGTTGATTTTGTTGGTGGGCCGTCCTGGTGCTCCAGATTTATGCGCCGCAAAGCGCTGGCGATGAGGGCCCGCACAAGCATGTGCCAGAATCTGCCAGCAGATTTCAAGGACAAGCTTGAAAGATTCCAGGCTTTCGTTAAGAAAGCCATTGAAGACGATGGCATCGGCAACAGCCATATAATAAACATGGACGAGGTGCCACTTACGTTTGACATTCCAATGGAAAGGAGTGTGGCACCGAAAGGTGACAAGTCTGTCACCATCAAAACTACCGGCCATGAAAAAGCGCACTTCACGGTTGTGCTGGCATGTTGCGCCGACGGGCAAAAACTTCCGCCAATGATTATATTCAAGCGGAAGACGATGCCGAAAGAGTCTTTCCCGCCTGGTGTCGTCATAGAAACGAACGTGAAAGGCTGGATGAACGAAGAGATGATGGGCAAGTGGCTTGAAAAATGCTTTTCTAAGCGACCGGACGGTTTCTTTCATGCGAAGAAAGGCCTCCTGGTATTGGATAGCATGCGGGCGCATATAACGGAGCTCACTTTGAAGCGCATCAAGGCAAAAAACTGCACCGCTGCGGTTATCCCAGGCGGGATGACAAAAATGCTTCAGCCGTTGGACATCTCGGTGAACCGCAGTTTCAAGGCTATTCTGCGGCGCCTGTGGGAGTCATGGATGTCCGACGGCGAGCATAGCTATACCGCAACTGGACGCATGAGGCGTGCTTCGTTTTGCGAGGTCGCAAAGTGGGTGCGCGAAGCCTGGTGTGCGGTGTCACAGGCCACCGTAACTGCGGGGTTCCGCAAGGCAGGCCTGCTAGCATCCTCAGCCCCTGGCCTCGACGACGACGACAGCAGCAGCAGCAGCGATTCCGAAGAGGAAACAGAGGAAGTCCAAGCGTCACTGCCGCCAGAGCTCGCTGAACTATTCCAAAGCGCGTCGGAGGACGAGGACTTTGAGGGCTTTGAGGAATAAAATGTTTTCCTGCAGTCGTGCGGAACGTTTCAGTGGGTGCGCAGTATTTTTTTCTCACAAATTCGGTGTAGTATAAGTTTTCTTACGGACTGGCGCTCAGAAACGTAAGTACGGCATTTTACAATGCTCGCTCAACTGCACGTTATGAAGTTTCTTTGCGGAAAGTGAGTGAATGTAGGTGCGTCTTATACACCGGTGCGTCTTATATATTAATTTTTGCATGAAAACTTGCGAAAACTGGGGGGTGCGTCTTATACAAAGGTGCGCCTTATACACCGGAAAATACGGTACAGTTCTAAATGGCTGCTACGAATCAGCATTTAAAAACCCCATTCACTGCATTCTTTCTACATCTTTTCACTAGTCAAACGACATCACTTTTTCATAACTTAAAGGCTGCATTTATTTGAGTTTTCTGTTCAACTCCATATTTGGCAGCACTCAGTGAGTGCTTCCACATACATTATTACTGCTCAACAGAAATAATTCATTTGGATGATTCTTCAAAAAAGCTTTTGCTTTATTTTTGTTTACTACTGTGTACCATTTGTGGCAATAAAAAAATATATACAGCAGAGTTTTGGTGATACGTACCTTTGCGATCAAAATTAGTAAAATTTTCCAGCCGAATTTTAATATGGACATTGGATCAGAATTCCTAACAGATATTCCTAACACTTTTCTGCATTGTGACAGGTGATACAAACTTGGTGCCAATACCGTCGAGTGATGGCCAACAGCAGCACATAATGGAAGTACGCACGTGGGCTGCACACACAGAGTCGAAATTGAGCGTATCATTTGCCACAACTGCTGCCGAAAAACCGATGGTCTCTATCGAAGAGATCATACATGGCAATGACCGAACTTCGAATGTACACTAGAACCTCATTTACATGAGTGACGTCTCGCAGCTTGTCTTTCAGAGGAAGGCCCGTTCACACTTGGCCTTCAAGGTAACCAATGTGGCAAAACTCACCAGAATTTCCCTCACTTCATCACCTAAGTAGTCTGAAAACTACGCCGCAAGGCCGATGCAAAAAAATAGGTCCAAGACCAAGTTTTCCCCCGTGCTATAGCAAATAGCCTTTCCGCTTCAAGGCTTTGGCTGCACTAGCTGAAACCACATGATGTAGACTCCTGGCCGCAAATTCAACATGGCGGCAAAGGTATCGGTGGTGGCTCAGCAAAACTGCAAACTGCCCATGCAGTGCGACAAAGCTCATGGCCTCGAGAAGGATGTGTTCATCTAGAGCCTGGTTTTGATTACGATCAACGAGAATAATGCAAGTAGAAGAAGGTGTATAAGCAGCGAGCCGGCATGCCCCAACGTGTCTCGCTTTTGCATAGCTGGCTGAATCCGCCGCCGCAGGTGTGTATGCTCAGGTCGTTTCTGCTGGTGTATTTCGCGAAGCGTTTGAAAGAGTGCAAACTGTTTCTTTTCAGTGCGTTGCATGAGTAGCTAGAAATCGAAACGAAAATGAATGCTCAGAAAAACGGGAAAATTGGAATGAATTCTCAGAGTGACAAAGGCAATGGTGGCATGTTACGAGGGGCATAGTGAATGTGAATGCTTTTGACGTGCGCAGACATGGCTTTCCGGTCGCTGTGGCATTTTCGTTTTTGCTTCGTTTCTCAAGTGAGTGTGAATGCGCCAGGACCAATTTTTTCGTGTTGACTTCACGGTGTAGCTTTCTGGCAACTCAGGTGGCAAAGCGAGTGAATTTCCGGTGAGTTTTGCCCCTTTTGCTTTCTTTGAGGCCAAGTGTGAACATGCCTAAGTGCCGGCAGCATCAGTGAGTAAACCATGGCATGGTTTTATTCCTTTCAGGTGGATTTCTTGAGAGACAGCGGAGGCAGAAAAGTTCAAAACACCATGAATTTTTCCAACAAGTACCATAAATGTTCCCGTATAGTCCGGGTTTTTTTCTCCAAAATTTTACTATGCAACATTTCTGCCCCGGACTCAATGCAGATCCCTATATTTTAAAAATTTTTCAGCCCGAATTCGTAGTTTTGGTTTCGGCAATATGCGGTGCTATCACCATCATCATCATGAGGCTTTTGCGATAGGTAGCATTGTAGCATTAGCGACGTTAGCTCTACAGGCAAGCAACAGTAGTGGCCATTAAAACCACTTGACACACGTAACAACGACCACGTTTTTACGTCTGTGACTTTAGCCATGCCAGCTCTGTGAAGGCAGTATTCAGCTGCCTTTAAAAGAAAGGCTATCTTAGCTGTTGAAACCATTGGTAGCTGTACTGCGAGGCGACAGTTCGGCATGGACGAGCGGTGCATTCGCGGCTGGAGGAAGCAGAAAGAAGCCTTCTTTGTATGCAGCGGCCAGTGAAGAAGTTTTCATGGGCCGAAACATGGAGTGTTTCTTGACGTTTGACAAGAACTGGCCAACTTTGTTCGAAAGCAACGGTATGCACAGCTCGCAGCCAACATAGAGCTGCTGCAAGCAAAGCCAAAGGAGATCGCACGAGATCAAGGCATTGAGCAGGCGGTCTTCAAGACGAGCAAGCATTGGGTGTCCCGCTTCATGCGCTACGCTATATTCTCCCTACGCCAGCGTACGTCGATATCCCAGAAGCTTCCAAAAGACTACGAAGAGCTGCTTGTGGGCTCACAGAAGCACGCATTTTTTTTGTGAAAGGCAGTCTCCTTTCAGCTCGGCCAGATCAGAAACGCTGATCAGTTGTCTGTGTACATCGATATGCCCTCGGCTTTGGCAGTTCACGAAAAAGGCTTCGGGCAAGTTACCATGCGATCAACTGGGAATAAGAAAACGTGGGCGACTGTAATGCTGGCCTGCATGGCAGAAGGGCGCAAGCTACCACTCTACGTCGCGTTCGAACGAAAGAAGCTGTCAAAGAAGGAGAAGTTCCCGACAAATGTTGTTGTCCGCTGCCAGGACAAGGGGTGAATGGATGAATCGCTCGTACTTGACTGGATCAACTCCGTGTGGTGTCGACGGCCCGGAGCACTGCTAGGGCTCCCATCGATGCTTGTGCTCGACGCATTTCGGTATCATCTAGTGGACTTTGTGAAGCAACTGCTGCGCTACTCCCGCACCGAATTTGTCATTATCCCAGGAGGAATGACATCCCAGCTGCAGATGTTTGATGAGTGCCTCAATAAGCTATTTAAGGACCCCATTAAGAGCCTGTATATGGTGTGGATGAGGTTTGCAGAGCAGGAAGAGACCCCTGCCGGACAACTGAAGCGGGCCTTGCCAGCGATGCTGTGCTTGTGGATCACAGAGGCTTGGGCCTGCTTTCCCGAGGAGCTCCTTTGCTGTTCCTACAAAAAGTGATCCATCTCAAATGCCCTCGATGGCACTGATGACGAGGCGCTGTAGGAGGACATGTCCGACAAGGGAGCTTCGGATGAGAGCTCGTCAAATGACAATGTGTAATTGAGTGTAAATAAATGTATTTTTATATTTTTATCGATCTAAATTCGGGTGAAAACTTTTCTTCTCACATTTGCTATGCCCGAAAATCACCTCGGACTTTATGTGGGTCTGATCTATACGTGGGTTTTTATGGTAGTTGACCTCAATAAAGTTCATCTTTAAGATAAGCTTTTCATAAATAATCCTTTCATAAATAATCCGAAATTCATTACATGAATTTTGAATTATACGAATATTTTGCGTGCTTCCTAGGAATTTGTATCATTGAGGTTCTATTGCAGTGTGAATGCACCTGCGATACCATTAGTGGTGCAGGTGGGCACTCTAGCCCTTCTCAAATCTTGTAGTGTGAATGCTAGTTAGATATGCACATTATGGTAAGCTGAATCAACTGGGAGTTGACAACTGTGATTCACTTTATCATTAACACTAGCTTAATCCAAAAAAGTCAGTGCTGCATACATAGTTATTAGCCTTTTTCTCAACTACCATATTTACTCGCATGATCCTCGCACTTTTCTTTCTGTGGAAAACCGATGAAAAGTTGGGGGTGCGAGAATGACGCAAGGAAAATTTTCGGCGAAAACATACAGAGCGAAAAAGCAAACGAAGTGGCCGCAAATCGGGGTGCTTACGCCAGAAACTAACTGCAAGCTTTGAGAAGTACTAATTAAGACTTAGCTTAACAATAAGAGCACAGGTTCAACACAAGGATAGATTTATTTAAGACACAAAAGCCGCCAAAATAATAGAGAATTAAAATACCATACAGAAAGCTTGTGGGCATTGCTGGCGTAGCGTTAGTGTTTGTCACTCAACGGGAGCCCGCAAAAGGTTAGCGTACGACATCATCATTGGGCTGATGGCCATTTAAGACAGAATACTCCACAGTTGTTTTTTGACGAAATAAAATTTATCATCTATCCCAGCCTCAGGCACGCGAAAGGCCCAATGTGTCTTTTAGCTGCCTGTGCTGCTGTCGCCAGTGGCGAACACAAAACTCGTCGACTACTCTGAAGGGACTACCGGTGGCCCTGCTGCCGTTGTTTAGTGCATGATCAATCACTTTTGAATTGAAAGCAGACGTGTAGCTTCCGTATCACCCCCATAGCGTAACAACATAACGGACATAACGTACAATACACGCCGCAAAGTGCACTTGCCACTTTGGCTTAGAGTGGATTTAATTGAGGCTCCGTGCATTGATAATACATTCAATGCTTAAAAGACTAAGCCAGATGGCGTGTGCTATCCTCATCAGTGGCTGTAATGAGCAGATGACATTACAGCGGCAATTTTCGGGGGTGCGATAATTACGGAAAAAAAGAATTGTATTTTTGTAGGGCAATGTGGGGGCGGTGGGAATTATGCAAGTGCGAGGATTATGTGAGTAAATACGGTACATAGCTGTTTCCAATGGCCACTCAATACTACAGTGCAACTTAAATATATACTTCTTTTTTTTTTTTTTCTCCAAGACATTGCAAAACGATGCGATGTCTTGGCATGCACTAGGTGGAAATTATGTGACTTATGTTGCAATTCAGCAGGTTAGAGAAAGTTTCGCCTTTTGGGCACAATTAGGCTCAAATGGTGATCCCTATCACATCACTATGCATTATCTAGTACTTAAATTAAAGTTGTGTGTAATCTTATTCATTTCATTATGAGGGTTTGCTGTATAGTGTTAAAATAGGCTTGTGAAAATATTTGAATGCTTCAAATATTTGAACAAATATTAGAGTATTTGAATTCATTTCAATTCAAAATTAAATTATCGAATTTTCCAAAGTATTCGATATGAACGAATAAATCTATATTATTCCCCATGTAACTACCTGTAAGAGTGGTTTCACTGCAGTATAGTAGTGCTAAACCGTGAAAGCACTTATCCAAGGCAAAATTGCTCTGCCGCAAAGCCCCACTTCAAATTTAAAGGGGGCCCTGCAACACTTTCTGAGCATGGTCAGAAAACAGTGCTGACCTTAGTCAAGATTGCCGAAAACACGTGAGCAAAATATAGCGCAGCATGTGACCTGGAATCCACAATAAATTCTCAGTCAGATAAACATTGCTCTCTTCTCTTGGCAAATGACGCCACAATGTCAAAAATCGCTTGTCACAGCCATTGTATTACCCATTGGCTGATTTGAGCAGGGGGCGCTCGGTCATAACTGAGGCCACCACAGGTGGCTGCGACTTGTCCACGGGTACATGCATGATCACACTGAAAAGCCGCGCATTCAAAAAAAAAAAAAAGTTCAAGGTCATGACGCGCACGTGACGTATTTTCTTTCCCCATGCCATCTCTCCCGTCTTTGCTTCAAGCGCTTTCGCCGGGACAAGAAGAGAGAATGCAAGTGGCAAGTTGCAAATTACAAAAACTCCGCTCATACGGGAAAGATTCTAAAAGTTCATGAGGCAATAACTTCTTTAGTGAATCCATTCCATGGTTACTTGAAAAGCTGTTGAACCCTTTAAATCAACATATGGTCCTCAAATCAATTGATCATTTTTCTAAGCTTAAAACCTTGTTTTGCTGACTTATACACTCTAACTGCAATGAATAATGTTACGTATTTTACAGGTTATCACTTGCATCCTACTTAAAGTCAAATGCTGCTACTTCTCAAAGTTCATTCGACTTCCTTTGAATGGGACACAAAGAAAACTTTCATAAAGGCCTTATTTCAATTCTAAAAAAAATATAGCTATCAACATTGGCAAATAGTCCCATCCCGCCTCATTTTATGTAACAACATTGTGCAGGTTAGTTAGGTCATGATAAATATGCCCATTTTTCTTTATACGTCATATATTCTAAACGAATTCGATTAGAAATTATTCGACCAAAAACACTATTAGCTTTGAAGCTAAAATTCATTATTCACACAAGCCTATTATTAAGCTATGAAGTAGTAACATAACTTACCACAACCTGTCTCGTCTGACCGATCAGCACAATGAGGCACGCCATCACAACGATCCTGGGCACGATAGCAGCCTACTCCAGAGGCACACATAATCTTCTGCTCACACCCAGATACACAACCCTGTTCATCTTCCCCGTTTTCACAGTGAAATATACTGAAAAAAAAAAAAAACGTGCAAGGTGTAAGATAGGGACATTACCATACAAGGAAATACACAACATGTTGCAAGGCAAGCAAATGACTAACAACTGTACTGTGTCAGAAATAAAAAAATTACAGTACTACAGCATTTCTCTATGATAAATACTACACCAGACATGGCTTTACTACATGAACTAAACACAAACCAAGCTAAGCATTGCCTAGTATCAATAACAAAAGAATTAAAATTAGGGTTATAATTTTAAAGAACAGCTAATTAACATGTTCATTGCAGCGTGATTTTTTTGGTTTGTAGCGAGAGGCAGAGAGACGTGTGGGATCTCGCCATTTTATTCTTCAGGATCAAAGAGGAGCGGCAACAGGTGCCTGTGTACTACTAGCTGCCAGGCGTGAGGACTCGTTCTCTCTAGCACGTGCCTCGAGCTCCGAGCACGAGCGGTGCGAGAGGTGCAGTGTTGCGACTAATGAGTGACAATGATGATGATTTATGAGGATGAAGGCCCTACAGGTTTGGTTTTAGGTGTGGAGTGACTCATTGGTGGGACACGCGGCTATGCCTGCTATAACAAGATGGCGCTGCCGCCTTTGCCATGGGCATCTGGTGCATTTATTTGAAAGATGCAAGTTGTTATCCACCTTTTTTGCATGAATATATGTTGAAATGCAAAGTGCTTGTCACAAAAAAACACAGGAAGTCAGTTTCTGTGATAAGTTAGTTTTTTCCCTCAGGGCTGCACTTTTTTTTGTGCCTATAAAAGGCACGAGTCTCCATTAGGCATGCTGAAAAGTTTTAGAGCAACAGGGAACGCTCACACACGTAGTCTAACGGAACATATTTCAAAAACTGTGGAAAAAGTTTGCAAGCAACGCAATAGAGGAATGTGTCGCCACTCGGTTCCTTAGAAAAATTGCACCACCTCATGTCCAATGCAATAATAAACAATATATATTTGTTTCAATTTCGAACTTAAGACAGTAGCACAAGACGAAGAGCTCTAGCGAATGGGTCATTGGTAGGTCATATGGCACACAGCACAAAAACACTTTAATTGAGTGTGTCGCGGGTCACCGTTGGTTCATAGCCTTCAACATCAGACAAGTATTCTTCTGGGCATGTGTATCCTCATGCAACACAAATCGTACCTCTGCGTTCAAGTGTCATAAAGTTATCGCAGCCGCAAGCGGATAAATGCACGTAACTTTGCAGCCGCCTAGGAAGAGCACAGGCGATGATTGGTGACCCACAATGCAGTGAACGTGTTAAGGAGCAATGGTGATGTTTCAATGGAGAAGATGCACATGAAAGAATCAGTACATGGAACAAGGAGATTTTTACTACAGTGAAATACATATATTTGAGCCAGTTACGAATAGATCTGGCACCTCATGAAGCAAAAAGAGCTTGTCTCGCCATCATCGCCCAATGATATGCCAATGTATACCAGAGAAGTATAGAGAAAAGCTATTCTTGTTCAAGAAATTATCAAAAAATCAAGAGGGCAGAAGTACCTGCCTTTTCAGTTTGATAACGCCACATAAAGCCTGGATTAGTTTAGCACACCATAAAATGTGATGGTAAAATCAAGGGAAAAAAAAGAGTCTTGATTTTCACAATGAAGACGAAGGACAGTGATGCACAGTAATGCTTTGCATCACAGTATATACACATAAACTGACTTCCTAAATTTTATAAAGAAGAGCAAAACATGCGCCCATGAGGCGATTCTCTGATGGCAATGGCAGCTTTGTTAAGGAACAATGGACGAACCAACGCTCGGCATAAACGGCTCTGCTATTAAAAGTATAGATGACAGATGAGCTGGTGACAGACTAGCTGACGTTTATTCAGAAAAAGTGACCAAGTGCATATCTTGGCATGTATTCCCTACTTTTGCTGAAAAGCTCGTGCGGACACTCGACAAAGTACATGTAGCAACAGCATTGCATCTGTGAAATGGGCATTCCTGTCATACCTGTCTGCACCCCCCTGGCCAAGCTTGTTGAAAGCACAATAAACAAGAAAATTGGGCGTAGTTCAATGAAAACCCTTTAAAACAACTAGATGTTTACAAGAAAAAGCAAATTTAAACTGTTTAAATTGGAATAATATCTCAAATATTGCATATTTTATGATTCATATCGACTGCATGTAGATATTGGAGAAGCGAATGACAAGCAGACGACCGTTGCCTTCCGCACTTAATTCAACTCTCACACCGTCAAAGCTGTTGGAGCACGTCGAAGCAAACTGATTATAAGTGTCGCAAGCCTTTCGACTATGTTGGAATGTACACAAACTTCATGGACGAATGAAGAGACCTTTACAGTAATTTACCGCTGGCAGGAGCAATTGGAAGACTTGAGGCGCAAGAATTGAAACTCTGGCGTGTACAACGAGAAATAAAAGCAAACCTTAAGAATCTTATACAGCAATAGAGGTAAGTGCAAGGACTATCGCATGATGGACTTATGAAATTACTTTTGTAGCGGCACGCAAAGTTTTTGATGCTCAAGCGGTTCTTACATGAACAACACTGCTGATATATGGCTCTATTGAAAAATCGTACGCTGAGTTTTGTCAGTGACATTTTACGGCAAGCAAATGCCACCTGGTGCATTGCATCTGACCCAAGCTCGAACCGGATAAGCTTGGGCCATGTAGCAGCGGTCATAAAGTTGATCGCGATCAAGAAAAGCGATCCAAATCGCCCTGATCATGATTAAATGTGCCCGCGTGACACCAACATAAGCTTGATGCACGGCTCAACCCAACTCAACTAAGCTTTCAAACTCAAGATAATCTCCTGCAAACTCAATGGGAGGGGAGACAACCCCACTTGAAATAGAGGAGAGTTCCAATGAGGATGAGTTTCCCACCCTACGAATTCACAATTTTTTTTTTTACCAACACGTGCAAGGCAAGTACAGAAAAACCTCGTTAATTCAAACTCGGTTATATGGAAATCCCACTTAATTCGAATTATTTCCATAGTCTCGTATTTCGTAATGTAAGTTTGAGCGGATAATTTGAAGCGGTGGTTAGCACCAGTCCGGCTTATTCAAAAACTTCGGGTGCTGTGTGCCAATTCCCAATTTTGTCGTAAGTTCACAGAAACAGCGGCCTTTAACAGTCACCTTAGTGATACTAATGAGTGGCAGCTTAAGCACCCTAGCCTCGTTATTTCCAGCACGAAAAATAAAATTGTAAAAAAAAACGCTGTCTTATGATCAACTAAAATGTGTGCCTACAGAAAATAAAACGTGCTTCACTGCAATACAAAAGTGACGCGCGGGCAGCATGTCGCATGCTTCTTGCAACCTCAGCGCGTCATGATTAACCCAATCTTTCACCGAATTCATCAATAAAATAGTCTGGCGGACTTCGCAATGTATGCGAACACCCGAGTGCCCATTGCTTCCGCAATACGCACACTTGCAGTACTAGCGGAGTACTGGCCTGCAACGCCTACTTTAAAAACTTGTTTCGAAAGCTTCAATGATAATGTTTTCCAGCCGATACACATTGTGAATTTCATCACACTGTCCATTATTAAATTTTATATTTTACCAGAAAGAATTGGCGAATGGTCGCATCATGACATGCTGGTGCAGCAAAGAGCAGGCGAGATGCTCTACGCGTACCAATACTGTGTTGTAGTGAAGATGTATCCTGTTTTGCAGGTATGCATTTCACTTGATCATGTTTTTTTCTTCTTTTTTCCCGTGGCAGCATCGAGGTCCAGCATTCCCCCTTGTGACCATGATTTGAGTGATATGTGGGGTTTAACATCCCAAACCACCATATGATTATGAGAGACGCCGTAATGGAGGGCTCCGGAAATTTCGACCACCTGGGGTTCTTTAACGTGCACCCGAATCTGAGCACACGGGCCTACAGCACCCTCTTGTGACCAGGTATTGCTGGAAAACATGACGCTTGGAACTGCGAACTAGCCAGCACAGCAAAGGACCAGCCCCGATTACTTTGAATAATTTCTCGAGTTCCTTGCATCCCACTTTTTGCATGTTCAGTTAATTCGAAAACTTGCTTAATTCAAAGATTTCTCACGGTCCCAGTGCCTTCGAATCAATGAGGCTTTACTGTACCAATGAATATTTAAGAAATAATAAGTTGTGTGGGTGTAATGGCAGCACCTTCTATTTTTACCCCAGACCTTGGGGAAGATACTGTGGTCATTATATGGGTATATACAGTATACGATAATGGCCTGTGAAGCCAATTAAGAATATAATTTCTGATAGTTGGGTACCTCGTTAAGCTGCTTTCTGCACATGCTTCGACATGCTTAGTTATATATATGAAATGTTATACACAATTTACAGGTCTCTCTCATAAGGATGTACTTGTCAGCATCGTCCTGAATGGTGTTCTGTCCCCATTTTTGTGTATCCCCTCACATTATGTCCTTTAGAAAGTGCCAACTTATCAAAAAGAAGTCCTTTCTTCAGACCTGTCACAGCGTTCATTGAGTGGATCATAGCAGGCTGTAGAAGTCGGACTGCACAAGGTACGATTTGGCCCACAGAAGGCACAGTCCAGCTCATCACTTAGGTCAGGGCAGTCGGGCTGCCCATTACAGTGAGCTTCCCTGTTGTAGCAGTCACTACCTGTTGCACAACGCAACATTCCACCTGAACAGGGACCTGGCAAAGGAAAGAAAAGAAAAAGCTCATTGACATTTTTACAATGCCATGAAGACTGCCTCCACGAGGCCTAGAAGGCACAGTACCCAATATCATATGATGGGTGATTGAGTGATGCAGTAAGAGTTATACAAGGATTTAGTGTTGTGCTGGAACTAGCTAGGATGGCCCTAAAGTAATAAACAGAGATTGCAAACAAGGAATCCGTGTTGCCAGTCCAGGGTGGCATTTACGCACTGCAGAATAAGCACAACCGAGGAGGCTACAAGGTATCTTCCAATACTTGCACAATGAGGAGTGAAAGTGCCATTTAAGGTGTTGCACATATGTAATGCACGAGATGATACCAATTGTTTGAACTTTACTGTGTGCTCCACTCGAACCATTGTATGCACACAGGTCATGAGAGCAGCTGAAGGCTCCTGAGACTTTAGTTTAAAGGGTCTTAACATCCCAAAACAATTAAGGCTATGAAAGATATAACGAACAGCTCCGGACAATCTTGACCACCTGCAGGATGAATGCAGTTTTTTCCAGCCAAATGCACCATGGTGGCGGTGTCATAAAGGTGCAACGGGCATTTTTATAATAGCTTTGCAATAAAACTACAATAAAAGAAAAAGTGCTGTGCAGGTTGAAGAGCCCCAAAAGTAAAGCAACCGTATTTAACCAAACTTTATTTCTTTATCAACACAATGTTTAAAGGCAGCAAAGGTGAACTCATTCCTGTATTCTTTGAACAACATCAAATTATTGATGAATATACTAAAAAAGGAGGTTGTGCAACAAGGATGAGGCAGCAAATGCAAATGTTGCCCGCAGCATTACCATTTCATCTAGTTATGCAGGGGGGACACTCGCAAGAGCAGTACATTTATACCCTTTCAGTTCCGATTTTTTTCAGCGGGTAGAAAAATTTTTTTATTGTTAATTTCACCTTAATACCACCTCCAGAGCAGAAAAATATTATATTTTGAGCACACCATCAGCATATAAGAAAAATGGCACCATGTCCATTATATAGAGGACACCAGGGCTTAGTGTTTGCGAAGTGAAATATGGTAAATTTAAATATTTTAATTTTCTACCCAGTTAAGTTGTGCAATTGTTGTGAAGCTAAACACGTGGCAACGATATATTTGTTAGAGCATATAAAATTTCATAAAGCAAGTTTTTGTGTTCATGATACACAGCTCCTCACCGCACCTGAATGAACGTTGTCTAATTATTGGATGCTCTATAAGATCTGACATCATAAAAGAGTGCTCAAGCCAGGTTTGCCGCGCCAAAATTATTTACGACCATGCCTGCAAGGGCAAGCTGACAGAACTTTCATTTCCTCGACGTCATCCACTAGCTCCTGCAAATTCCTTTCATGATGTGCTGAAAACGTACTCAAACCTATTACGTACAATGTCGTTATTGAAACCTGCTTATTATTATTTCACAAATGTGGGCTGGGTTCAAGTGGAATAACAAGACATCTTTAGCTGACACGAGCACTATGGCTCTGGATCAGCATGCAATGAATTCAGGACTCTGACAACCACTGAACCTTGGTGTCCTTCCTATATTTAGTCAGAACATGGCAATTATGCATTACTGTAGGTGACACGTATATGTTGGAGAATACGCTCTTTGCAAATAAGCAGTTCAACATGTCAAAAACATCAGAAATAAACATGATAGCCACTGATACAATAGTTAATCATGGAAATATCATCAAATGTACGGTTTCCACGATTGTATTCTTTCTCGCCTTTCGCCATCTTGCTTTCAACTAAGAGGAGTTCAAAGAAAGACGAAAAAATTAATACTTTATATACAGGAAGCATAATATAGTACTTCTTTGCATTTCTAAGGTATGCATGAACAAATTTGTAGCAATACTAGTTCGTGTCCTTTATAAAGGACACAGGGCCTGAAAGGGTTAACCCTTTTAGGCAGTTCCCAACATTGCACTGCAATATTTTCCTGAAATAAAACATGAAATGCAGGCATTCCAGTATTTCTAACAAAAGTGAAAAGGAGCAAACAAACATGGTGCATCCATTGGTCAACAATGATGCTAAACAAAAAACTCTCCTTTCCGATGTGTTTCCTTTAAATCCAATGAGCCTTTTTCAGCACAACATACTGAAACTTGTAAGCAATGGTTCTGCCCAGACAACTGTCTGAAAGAGTAGATAGGCTCAGCACACAGGATCCGTTTCGAAAATTGGCATGTTTGTACATTCGGCAATGGTGCCTGGCGAAGCTTGAGGTGGATTCGTTAGTGGGAATGTCAACATCGAAATGAGACTGGGCTCAGTTGCCTGCGGGCAGTTGTTGAGGCAGGTCATGATCTGAGCACAGGTATCTATGACATCCTTAAAAAAAAAAAAAAAAAAAAAAAAAAAAAAAAAAAAAGAGACCAGTTTCTGGAGCAATGTTATGTCCGTCCGTTTCTGCACACGCGATGACTTTCTTTTCACAAGCGGCATCGTGGTGCACTCGAGTTCTTGGAGTCGGCCCTTCCATGCCGTCGATGCTAATGCAATACAAGATGACGAACTCCTCAGCACACGTGCGAAGTGCTGCACATGCGAAACACATAGGCAGAAATGGCCGACGCACGTAGGGGGCGGCCATTTTGGAAATGCCGATGGCTATAGAATAACCGTATTAATTTTTTTTTTCGTACTCGATTCTAACGTGCATGCGATTTATGAACTCGCTTAACCGGAAAAAAAGTGCGCGTTAGATTCAAGTAATTACGGTATCTCAAAAAGCGTACAGTGGCAATGTGATGAAATACCCAAACATTTATGCGGCACAAGAGATTCCAGGAAGGTAGGGAGTCCATCCACTATGACGACTGCTCAGGACACCCGTCAACATTAAAAACAAAGGGCTTAGTATAAAAAGTGCACCATGTTTTGGACAAGGGCCACTTAGAGTGTTTGGATGATTGTAGAGGAGCATTCAATATCCAACACAACTGCTCGTGTTTTGAAGGAATATCTTCAAGCGAGGAAAGTCTGCGTGAGAATGGTACCGAAATTCCTGAAGAGTGAGGTGAAAGAATAGTATTTGTCAAAGTGCCAGGAATTGCATGAATGCTACTAAACATACCCTAAACTTCTGAACAGAGTGATATCACAGGGGACAAGATGAAAATTTTTCAGTATGATCCTGAATCAGAATGTCAGAGCAGCGAGTGGCACGCCACAGAGACTCCTCATCTCAAAAAAGCAAAGACGAGTGTATTGTGAATCAAGGCAATGCTGACTGTGTTTTTTGACAGAAAAGGTGAGGTTCACAGTGAATTCGTGCCACAGGGACAGTCAACAAGGAGCTTTACTGTGAAGTGCTCAAACTGCTCTGCAACAGGATTCAACTTCTCTGAAAAGAAAGTCATGACCATGGGATCATGCACCACGACGTGTCAAGGCACAACGAGTTCATCGTCTCAGAGTTGCTGGAAAAAATGGGTGTGGCAATACTGCCCCAACCAACGTACAGCCCTAATCTGGCAGCACTGGACTTCTTTTTCTTCTTAAGAATCAAAAGAACCCCAAAAGGAACTCGGCGTGGGATGCTGGAGATGGTAAAAGCAGCTGTAGTGACCTCATTGAAGGAGATCCCGTTGACAGCCCGTAGGACACCTTCAGTGCTAGCAACAGTGCATCGAAGCAGGAGGACAATACTTTAAGAAGTCTAAAAAGATTTTGAATTGATATTGAATCAATGATTTCTATAAAAAAAGTAATAGGTACTTTTGAGACAGACCCCGTAAAAAACTATTTTCTAACTTTTTATTTACAAACAAGTAAAAAAGAGCTCTACCTAGCATTCTCGGGCTGTCCCCTGCAAAATTAGAAGTGCATTTTTGTCACTACAGCAGGCATGCAGTTAATTCAGCTAGTTCCTTCCCAGGCACCCAGCTGATAAACATTGTGCATTTCAGATTTGTATAGTGGTAGTGAGTACAAACAAAAAACAGGAGCTTGCTGCTTTAAAACATAAACAGCATTCTACTGGACTAAAACAACCAAGGAACTTTACCATGGACCTCACAGAGTGATTACTTTTTCGTGAGCTGCACAAATATCCTGACAACATGGCATGGAATCATTTAAAGCCATCCTTTGTCTATCATTAGGTATTTTTAATTTTGGTACCAAGAGATTTTTTAATTTTTCTGATACGATTATGAGGAAGCACACTGTAGTGGGGGTGGGGGACTCCGGATTAATTCTGACCGTAGCAGGTTCTCTAATGTGACCGAAACCTAAGTTTGCTGGTTTTTGCCAAAAATGTGAGCACCATGGCTGGGCATTGAATCTGTAACCTTGTACTTTGCAGTGCGATGTCATATCCACTGTAATGGGTCTCAAAAAGCTAGAGAGCGACACCAAAATCAAAAGCAGACTTACACTGCAGCTCATCAGAGTTGTCCTCACACTCAGCGTGACCATTACAAGCCCACTGTTGCATTATGCACATTCCATTCCGGCACTTATATTCATCTGGTCTACATGATGAAGATTGCTTGTATCCCCCTGAAATAAAAAATGCAGAGACTATTCTCAAGCACACAATATTTATATAATCCCTTACAAGGTACTAACATAAGTGATGACTCCTGTTGTTGTAATACTACAAAGCTATGTTGGCGGTAAGCTTTAATGCTAAATAAACTGTGCAAGTTATTGGCGACAAGATCGATCTATACGTATAGGCACTGTCTTGACGGTAGTGTAGATAGGCTGTCAGCGGCACGTATATAAAGATGCACACAGCAGCATTTCGCTGTGAGCAGTTTCAGCCGATCGTCTGTGAACAAATTGTGTTAACTCTTACTTACTGGAAATATCTACGCTCTTTATAGCAGAGTCGAAGAACAACGCCCATCAAATGTTGCTATTACCAGGGAGAGAAATGGAATCAGCCAATAACATGCAATGCCCACCCCTGGTGAAAGAGTGCGCTTTCGCACTACTTTATGTTTTTTGTTATGGCATGTGTACATGTTTAGCTTGTGTTCTGCCTACTATGCACTGCTGTAGCACAACTGAACTACTTAAGTAAATACTACTTCTTGCTCGTCTGGATAAAAGACAGAGAGAGAGAAGAAGGAAAGCCCTTATTTCTGTGCGAGGAGTTCAATACCTCTATTCGCATGAATACGCATAAGCATTTTTTTGTTATTCTCTACTCCATGAAACCTACAATAGTTGAAAAGTTTAGTCAGGAAAGCTATGAGGGCGATGGTGGTTTAGCAATAAAGGGACATTTAACATGCATGCAATAGTTCGTGCTTCAGTAACAGTACAAAAAGGTAACACTTCAGCATACAGCTTTCATCGATTTATTAGGTACATTACATTGATGTACTAATAAAGGTTCGGTTATTTTATGAGGCTTTTTTTCTTTCTGTACAAAGAATGTTCGCTGGCTGCCATCAATCTAAAGCAACACTACACAAACGCTCAAGGTAAAATTAAAAAAAAATGGCATGAGCTTATAAGATATAATTGTAAGGCAAGCCATCTGAATTAATCCTGAACATCTGGGTTCTTTAAAGTGTGCTTAAATCTAAGGACACAGGTATTTCTTCTTACATTTCAAACCCAAGTTCAATTTGTGCACGGCAACTTTGTTGTATCACATTGGCATCATTCCATTTGCCGTTTTTCTTTGGGGGGCGGGGATAATTGATAGAAATATTTCTCTGTAGTGGGACCACGACCGTACAAGAAAAAGACAGCTTATTCACAACTAAAGCACAATGTGTAACCACGAAACTACAGTGCCGCACTTATACATCGAACAATACGAAGGTGCATGGCTTCGAGCCTTGTTTTTGTTAACCACGGAGTTGCTGAAATGCCGCATTCACATGCTACTTGATACTCCTCATGTTTCAGGTGATTCCAAGTCCTCTTTAAGATGTGCTTGAGCCAGAGAGTGGCACCCACACTGGTATTATTAATGAAGGATATGACAGGGGTTCTTAATTTTGCCATTAGGACTCCTCCATGTCCACTTGCGGTTTTCTCGTTTTCGGTAGAAGGTATTCAAAATCCGTAAATTATTGCGTTCTGCGAATTCTACTAGTAGCTCTCCTCTGGCGTTTCTAGTACCGATGCCATAATCTCCTACTGCCAGGTCTCCAGCCTGCTTTTTCCCTACCTTGGCATTAAAGTCTCCCATCAGTATTGTATACTGTGTTTTTACCTTACTCATTGCCGATTTTACGTCTTCGTAGAAGCTTTCAACTGAAGCGTCATCATGGCTGGATGTAGGCACGTAAGCCTGTACCACCTTCATCTTCTATCTCTTATTCAGTTTAATTACGATACCTATCACCCTTTCATTAATGCTATAGTATTCCTCTATGTTGCCAGCTATGTTTCTGTGAATTAGGAACCCCACTCCCAAATAAGAACCAAATAGACTTTATAATGCGTGCACACCCAGGCATCGTGCAGGATGTGGAAGTGGTTGGCAAGGTACGATGCAGTGACCATAGAATGGTACGGTCTAGACTTGACAAAGGAACGACAGAAACTGATACGCAAGAAGCCAATCAATGAGATAGCACTGAGAGGGAAAGTACAGGAATTCAGAGTCTCGCTTCATAACAGGTACTCGGCTCTTAGTGAGGAAACCAACCTTAGCATAGATACAATGAATGATAATCTGTCGAGTATCATTACAGAGTGTGCAGTGGAAGTTGGAGGCAGGGTAGTTAGACAGGACACTGGCAAGCTTTCCCAGGAAACGAACAATCTCATTAAGAAGCGTCAAATCATGAAAGTCTCAAGTACAATAGACAAAATAGAACTGGCAGAGCTTTCAAAGTTGATTAATAGGTGTAAGGTATCCGATGTAACAAGGTATAACATGGAGAGAATTGAACACACTGTAAAAAAACGGAGGAAGCGTCAAAGCAGTGAAGAGGAAACTTGGGATAGGCGAAAATCGGATGTATGCACTAAGGGACAAAGGAGGCAAAATAACTACCAACATGGATAGGATAGTTAAAATAGCGGAGGAGTTTTACAGAGATCTATACAGTAGCCGGGACAACCACGACTTTAATACTATAAGAACTAGCAGAAACCCAGATGACACCGCACCAGTAATGATAGAAGAAGTCAGAGAAGCTTTGGAGAGCATGCAAAGAGGCAAAGCTGCTGGTGAGGATCAGGTAACATCAGATCTGCTGAAAGATGGAGGACAGATTGTGTTAGAAAAACTAGCCACCCTGTTTACGAGGTGTCTCATGACGGGAAGAGTACCAGAGTCTTGGAAGAATGCTAACATCATCTTAATACATAAGAAAGGAGATGAAAAGGACTTGAAGAATTAGAGGCCGATCAGCTTGCTCTGTGTAGTATACAAGCTATTTACAAAGGTAATTGCTAACAGAATTAAGGCAACATTAGAATTCAATCAATGAAAGAAACAAGCAGGATTTCAAACAGGCTACTCAACAATCGACCACATTCAATCCGGTAATATCAATCAGGTAATAGAGAAATGCTCAGAATACAGCCTATCACTATACATAGCCTTCATAGATTACGAGAAGGTGTTTGATTCAGTAGAAATATCAGCTGTCATGCAGACACTGCGGAATCAGGGCGTCGATGAAGTATATATAAACATCCTGGAAGAAATCTACAGGGGATCAACTGCTACCATAGCGCTTCATAAAGAAAGCAACAGAATACCAATCAAGAAGGGTGTAAGGCAGGGGGACACAATCTCCCCAATGCTATTTATCGCATGCTTACAGGAGGTTTTCAGAAGCCTAGTATGGGAACAGTTAGGGATAAAAGTTAATGGAGAGTACCTTAGTAACCTGCGCTTCGCCGATGACATTGCATTGCTGAGTAACTCAGGGGACGAATTGCAACTCATGATTACGGAGTTAGACAAGGAGAGCAGAAAGGTGGGTCTTAAAATGAATCTGCAGAAAACGAAAGTAATGTACAACAACCTCGGAAAAGAGCAGTGCTTCGAGATAGGTAATAATGCACTTCAAGTTGTAAAAGACTATGTCTACTTGGGGCAGGTAATAACCGCGGAGCCGAACCACGAGATTGAAGTAACTAGAAGAATAAGAATGGGGTGGAGCACATTTGGCAAGCATTCTCAAATTATGACAGGTAGATTGCCACTATCCCTCAAGAGGAAGGTATATAACAGCTGTATCTTGCCGGTACTTAGCTACGGAGCAGAAACCTGGAGACTTACAAAGAGGGTTCAGCTTAAATTGAGGACGACACCAGCGAGCAATGGAAAGAAAAATGGTAGGTGTAACCTTAAGAGACAAGAAGAGAGCAGAGTGGATTAGGGAACAAACTGGGGTTAAGGATATTATAGCTGAAATCAAGAAGAAGAAATGGACATAGGCCGGGCATGTAGCGCGTAGACAGGATAACCGCTGGTCGTTAAGGGTAACTAACTGGATTTCCAGAGAAGGCAAGCGGGTTAGGGGGAGACAGAAGGTTAGGTGGGCAGATGAGATTAAGAAGTTTGCGGGTATAAATTGGCAGCAGCAAGCACAGGACCGGGTTAACTGGCGGAACATGGGAGAGGCCTTTGTCCTGCAGTGGACGTAGTCAGGCTGATGATGATAATGATGACAGGGGTGGAACTAGGCTTCAGTTTTTTGGAGGAGCTCAGGCAGCAGGAATAATACAGCTTGGGAGCAGTAAAAGGGGTTTTGGAGCAGCTCCGGAGCACAAAAACGTGTGTTTTGGAGCAATGAAATATAGCTTTTAGTATTAGAGTAGATTTTTAGAGTTAAACACCACTGTTAATAAAATTGCTTTCCGGTAAATGATGAAGCAACCAGACTTACCACAAGTACATATACAGAGTGCCCCAGCGATCTTTAGCCACTCTCTTGTTGAGTCACTTATATATAAATATCTTTAGCCGGAGTTTAAAAACACACTGACACAAAATGACATGATCAAATGCATGTTGCCCACTGTTGCCTGAAGTGAGTCAGACTAATTTTTTGTTCTAATCAATCGCTTAACTAGGCCCCTTTAATTAGCTAACTTTTGAAAGAACGAAAATGGGCCAGAAATCTCAACATGAAAACTGTTCATCAGTATGCAAAACGTCTGATTAGACAGTTTCAATCTTTATATCTGTTAATTTTTAGTGTTTGTCTGCTAAGTACAAATGCCTGCAAAATGCAAAAGAAGTATCACGTGACAAACCTGCTCGTCCCCAGTGAGCACGATGATTCTAGTGCTAACGTTCCCTGTACGAACGGCCATAGAATTTGCCCGATTGTGCTGTCTCGCCGCGACTGCGACGATGGTCGTGGCTTTGCGATGACTACATTTTGCTATTGGCCACAAAAGTGATAACAACTGTAACAGCTTATTGCTGTCATGAACCGGTGCGAGAGAAGTGTATCGTTCGTACACGGAACGTTAGGAAGCACCACAATCACGACGCGAGTAGGCACACCAGTGGGTTTGTCATGTAGTATCTTTTGTATTTCGAGGGCATTTGTAGCTAGCCGAAAACCACTAATAATTAATAGATATAAATTTCGAAACTGTCTACTTCGACGTTTTGCAGAACTAATCAATAATTTTCATTGAAATTTTTTTTACTCATTTTCATTCCTTCAAATTTAATTCATTAAAGGGGCCTAACCTAATTAAATAATTATTCAGAACACAAAAAAATAGTTTGACTCACTCCAAGCAACAGTCAGCAACATTTATTTGGACATGCTAATTTCAATGAGAAAGTTGTAGATCGGTTTGCAAAATGTCCAAATAGATAGTTTTGAACTTTATATCTCTTAAGTATTAGTGTTTTTCTGCTAATTACAAATGCCCGCGAAATACAAAAAAATACCACGTGACAAACCCGCTCGCGCGTCAGTGCGCACAATGATTCTAGTGCTCCCCGACGTTCTGTGTCTAATTAAACAATATTTGAAAACACAAATAAAACATATCTAATTAAACAATATTTGAAAACACAAATACAAAATACAAAACACAAAGTTAGCTGTCAGCCTACTTCGTACTTTAATGGGGTCGTGGCATTGACAAAGGCAGCAGTCGCTGTTTTCATGACTGAACTTTTTATTTGGGAAAACCTGAGCCTGGAAAAGGAAATGTCACTCTACAAGCAATACACACTGTACAGACTGATAGCAGGGAGCAACGACCGTCGATAATCTGCCAAGCAGTGAAGCGCGTCAGCATGTCATCGAAGATTCCAGCGTTATTGCTAGCGGCTGCATAAGTTCCAGAACAAACTAATATACGCGTTGTACGCATGCTCTCAATATAAGATGGTTCCCAGTCATTCGGGCACGATTTGCACAAAGCAGCGTGACATATATAATGGGGCAGGAAAAAAAAAAGGAAAAAAAGAGGAGCACTCGTGGCATTACCATTGCAACATCACAATTTGCTGTTATTGCATTAATCACTTTGCCAGGAAAACAGATCTTTATTTTTTTGCTTTTATGATTCGACAGTGCGGTGAGTTTTTTGCAACACCACTGCCATCTAACAGCTTCGCTGTTAAAAGATAAACTTGCATAATGAGGTTTGCACACAAATTCCACTTTAACAAGGTTCGCGTATTTCGTTCACGTGGCGCAGGATTCATGCATCGTGTTTAGTTCACGTATGGTGCGAGCACCTTGCGTGAACTTCGATATGCTTGCAGCTGCGTTTTTTGTGAATGCAACGTGTTTTCCTCGGTCAATGATAAGACTCAGGTAAATTTCGCATCCCACGTGCAAATTGCCATTTAGGCACAGTAGGTCAGATTGCTGCATAATGGTGCTATTGGCGCAGCACTTCCATTCACTCCAAATACGACGACAAGGCAAGATTTTCTAAAGTAGCCTGCAGTGACCGTATTACAATGCACATGCACAAACTGCCTTTAGAGGATGCATATAACAAAATGTGGCCAGTAGACGGCACGGGGAGCAATCAACACTAGGCACACTTCAGCTATTCATCGCCAGGCGGTGACTCCGCTCGATTTTGCAGCCAGTAGGTGTAGCCCCAGCTTCCACCAGGAAAGCAAAACAGCACACTTCAAAACTTTACATACTGCCTTACCTACAGTATAAGACAGCTGGAAGCCTCGGCCTTGAGGCACCTGCATTGGAGAGCTATGGAACTTGATCCACACTTTACTATTTCGTGAAATAAATGGCTCGGGACGCTTGCGCCCACAGTGCACTCTCTCGCCTCCATTCGCTGTAGGGCCCAGCTTTATCCAAGTGCCCCCGCAACAGGGGCTTTTCTCACAGTCTTCCAGGCCACCAAGGTCCAAGTCATCAAAACTACAGAGTCAAACATAAGACAAGTCAAGCAATCGTTGAGAAATCTGTGTAGTAATACATGTGACACATTTACACAGGTCTGTCAAGGAATAGATTAGTAAGCACTAATGCAGAGTGGGCTCCACTCAAAAGTTCTGTAACATCAGAGAACACTTCGGAATATTAAAAGTGCACATACATTACCTACTAAAGAAAACAGTGTTAACACTAAAATATCTACAGTGCATTACCATTGCCCTTTGACCTTGATTCACTAACACTTTGTAGCAGATAATTGTTGAGCAGACTGCAAACACTGTCATGTGGCAATGCTACACGTATAGTAAAAATTCGACATAAAAAATATCAGATATAACAAAGATACTTATTTTTAGAAGCTACTTTCTTAAATCAAGGCTCAACCAGGAGGTTGTGGCTCCTGAGACTGCGAGCCTTTAGCCTACATCCTGAAGTGGTAATGTACACTGTATAAAATTTTATTTATTTATAAGAAATACCTACAGCACCCAAGTTAGGCAATTATGATAAGGGGTTAATTGCACACGTAAAATGATAAAAATGACATAATTAAGCAGAGTCAGAACCATAGAACTTGGACAAATACATTACTGTGAAAGAGAAAACACAATTACAAAATAAAGCCATTATAAAGAAAATCAAAGTAACAATAAAATGAACCTATAGAAAGTTTTCTATGCCAGAATAAAAGCTTGGTGCAGATACCATTTGCTTGGCAAGCAGATTCCATTGTTCAATTGTTTGAGGAAAGAATGAAATGTATTGTTGCCTGTATTGCTGCATGTATGCTCTAAATTGATAAGCCAAAATTTTGAAAGAAAACTCTGACATACTTTTCATTCTAGATCAGGGGTCTGAAACCCATCTCAGCTAGCAGGTCGTAGTCATGAAATTCAGTCTAACAAAATGTCAGCTAAAGCTGCTATTTAAAAGAATGCCTTTCTTGTATCTCACATATAGCTCATATTTGAACGAGATTTTTTTGAAGTCAGATTTCCAGAAACACATTGAGATTGATCTCTAGAATGACTAAAATTCTGGAATGGAGACCAGTTGCATTTCTGTGGCTTATCCGAACAAAGCGCTATGAATTACAATAGGCGATAAAATAATGGAAATACCACTTGGAAGTCACAATAGTTAATTCCTTGTGAAGTCGTGGGCTACTAGCAAAAGGTCTGCTGGTCGCGTGTTTGAGAGCCCTGTTCTAGACAGTATAGAAAGTGGCTCACCTAGGTTTTAGTGCTTTCTTTTAAGAAACCACTACAGTACAAGGTACTTTTCTAGACAATACAGATTTTTATAAAAAGATATGACAGTCCATGTTGACTTCACAAACAAAACTCTACGACGAGGTGAAAGAACTTTGCTGCACCTAAAGTTTCATTGAAACGAGGAAGGAAGAAAAACTCGTAATTAACTTTCTAAATTATTACTTGAAGGGTATCCAAAAACGGCAGGAAGGGGAACATGGAAGCTTGCAATGAAAAAATCCATAAAAAAAAGGGGTTGTGTGCTCGAGCTGACGTTTCGACAAGTGGACTTGTCTTCTTCAAGGCTAGAACTGATTTTTCCTCAGCACTAGTAGAGTGTACTGGAACAAGGGAGCGCCCGGACCCAGCTTTGAAAAGTGAAGCTCAAGCCGGGTATATCCGCTAGCAGCGCTAGGGTCAGTAATTTGCAATGTGTCGTCGTTTTAAGAGCTGCGCGCGGCTCTGTCAAAGTGGCTCAGAGGTAGAATGCCCGCTTTTCACTCAAAAAAGCCAGGTTCAAATCGCGGCTGTGGACGGTGGATTTTTAATTTTTAGTTTCAATTTTACAGTTGTGTTGGTTTCCTTTTCTTTTAAATCTAGCTTCAGTTGCTACATCTTGTTACAAAAAGTCCCACGAAATATGAAGTAAAGAAGAAAAAATTTGACAGCAAGCGTACTGAGGAGCTTACTTGACAGGCGGTTCTGCAGTACGCTCACGGCAAAATTTCCATTTGTGTTTGTCGTCATCTTTATGATTGTTTACCATCATTACCAAAGTGTTCATGGTTACGTTCAAACTGAACGCTTTCGTTATCAGTAGTAGCATTGTTCAAGACTCCTTTGTTTGTTGATGGCTCTGTTTGAATTCACCGATTTTTGTTGCTCTCCAAATCAAAACATTAGCTTCTGCTAGTCAACTAAAAAATTATGGCATGTATACCTTCAACACTTTATCTACATCCCGAATAATGAAAATAAATTGTAAACTTCTAAAAGTCGTTTTTACCTATATTACAGATAACGTTTTGTGCAGAGCCACTTGACAACCAAGCGGGTCCTAGTACTATTCGGCAGTCCACCAGCTTTTACAAAAATTCAGTATGCCTGGCGTACACAAACGTGGACACTGCAGTGGCAACTCAACCTACAAAACTTTGGTAGTTTACCGTGGAACAAAACTCACCCTAAAAAACAAGACAAACCCTTCCTTTTTATTTCTTTTATTAATACCAAATATTTTAACAATGCTTACGAATTTAGAGTGAACTTATCAAACAAATGTAGGCATACATTTCCAGCGGCAAGTCGAGAACACTACTTTATGCGCACATGTAGCGCTATTTGTTCACAGAAGTACACCCATAAAGTTTTTATGAAATGCTCAAGTAAAACAACGAAAATACTCAAAACAAATTATAATACAGCGTTCCAATCATCATTCACTTTACAAGGTCCTTTCACGCGATCGTGCACAAGAGCAAAGAGACATATCTAAATTTGATGTAAGAACTAAGGAACACATCAAAATAAATCATTTCACATTTTAAGTGGCATCACACAACAAAACATGCCTCACTTGAACAGCCAAGCTGGGAAGTAAAACACAAATATCATCATTTTAAATACTAAGAAGAGTGACCTTTGAGTCGCTGATTATGAATAACTTGCAACAGCTGTCGATGCTGGTGCTGAAATATGTTAACCAACTCCTTCAATGGTTACTCTAGCTCACAAAAATTGTGTCAAGCTCTGCATTTACAGCACAAAGTCTCATCTTTCTGAGAGTACAACAAATACTGAATCACAGCACTTCATAAATGAACACGTCGAAACGTGTGTCATATTGTTAGCGCGGTGCAACCCACCACCATAAAGGCTCTCAAAGGCTGGACTTCTAGCCCAACTTCCTGGGCATGTGCCTTGCCACCAATGTGCATTAATGTGCAGAATGAGCAGCACATCTACAGTGATCACTCTCCCTTGCTGGCGTTCCTCTTGGAGACAATGGACGGGTCCAAACCGCGGAGCTGTACTTTTCTTAATGCCTCAGTGATTAAAAAAAGGCAGGCACATCTAGTGTTCGAGAACTACTTTGTCTGAATGCTTCGTTCATGTTTGAGCTTAGTTATTAATTAAACATACCTTTTATCCTTGTGTTAAGCTACCCATGAGACCGTAGTGCCTCTCTAAAACCACACTTTTCTCTGAAGGGGACACCAGCAAGGGAAAGAGATCACTGCACATGTGCTGTGCATTCTGCCTTATTAACCTATCATTGTAGCTCAGTGGTGAGACACATTCCCAGGGGTTCATGCTCGGAGTCTAGCCTGTGGTAACCTTGCCGGTGGCGAGTTCCCGCGAATTCTTAAAAGTCATAAGTTGCACAGTTTCTGACGTGAAAAAGGGTTCAGCCTGTAATCGAAAACGAAGATACCATTCAAGTGTCAAACTAGCTATGAAATGACTGCAATGCCAAAAACTGTGAAATCAGCCCTTTAAATTGTCTGCTTTTCTTTAAAAACACAAGGAGACACAATTGCCACCTTGTACAGAGAAGTGCTGAATAAACTCTGCTTCCCACACCTTGACCATCCCATACCGTAGCCTCACTATAATTGAAACTCTGATAATTCGTACTTTCAGTCAATTCAAACAAAATTAAAATTAAATTTTTTGGTTGACCCTCTATTCTTTCAATGTATTTAAAAACCTCCTAATTCAGACTCCATCATCCAGTTGATACATATTGCAGTTCCATACCAGAAAATATCTGCTGTTTTCTTACTATCTAAAAATTTGCGTGCTTATATAATCCTAACAGCCTAAAAAATGAAAAAAAAAAGCACTGTAGGCTTTCAAAGAAAAAGGCTTTGCTAGTAAGCAAATGTCTGAAACAAAACACACGCATGGTAAACTGTGATGCTTCTCAACTGGTACAGAGCGTTGTGCTGAATGCACATATAGCAAAGAAGCAGTTGGCAATTCACAACTTATTCAAAAAATCTCATCAGCAGTAATGGCCAATAATCTTATGGACCTTAAACCTCTGCTTTCTGTTCATTGCGTGTCATTAGAAAGACAAAATTTTTAATCTGATAAAATTAATGTCTAATCATAATGTGTGGTGTCGTCTCACCCACAGTCATATATCTGAAAACTTCTGATAATTCAAATTTGTTGATAATTCGAACGAAATTCAGAGGTCCCTTCATGTTTGAATTAACGAGAGTCGACTTTATGCGTCCAGTGAAAATTCACACCATGGGACCACAAGTTTTGATGATGAAATGAGTATCTATTTTTTTTCCAGCACATTGACAAGGCCCTACTGACCCGACCATTTTGAAATGATCAGAATTCGAAGTTAATACAACTACAGTAGACTTTCAGTACACGGAAATCTGTTAAATAGAACTGTTGCTTAAATGGAATAACTGCCTCCAGCATGATTGGTTTCATATTTGGATTCTCCATCCTTGTTCACCTCTCAGTATATGGAACTCCTGTTGAATGAAACACATTTTGCTGGTCTGGCCTCCAGGTTTCATTTAACGAGAGTCTATTGTACTTATCGTTGAGCTCATGGGAAAATTGGGCTCAACTGCTTAGTTAGTACTGGGCTGACGGTGATCCAATAGAGCAATAAAAACAAGGAAAATTTTTGGTAAGGACTGGAACTACCATCAAAGTAGCCAGGAAAAGTGAGCTAATCTTCAAAGAAAATCTAAGCCAAGCCTAATAAACATAGCGGCTCCTGCTCTAAATTACCAACTATGCCTTTTTGTTGCCATTTCGAAAGAGCCTTTTAGTTGCCAGTTGCAGCCCACTACAAAATGTTAGTAGCAGTAGCACTATCGGTCAATTAGGTCATGCTAGCTACAACTGCATAATAGAATGTAAGCACTCTGTCAAGCTTACCTTATCGTAATGACCTGATCACGACGACCGATAATGGACCAGCTGCAAGATGTGTGATTGGAGTAGGAAATGGGATATCCTGGGCTGCTTATTTTACCACGTGGACCAAGCCGTCTCTGCTGCTGGCATGATTCTGCAAAAGGAATTCGGGTATTACATTCACCCTGCCTATAGAACTTCCTAATAAAAAGAAGTAAAGCTGGAACTAGTGCCTACACAGTCTCTTTGAGTAGCACATCAACCACCATGGGAAGGATGGGAAGCACAAGCCCACAATCTCCTTAGGATGGCTTTTGTGTGTAAGATTCGTGGTTTTTGTTTACTGAGGTTTAAATGAAGTGTTAGAAAGTTATTTCCAAGTATATTTTGCTCATTCTTCAGAGTGTAAAACTTATTCTATAGAAAGTTCGCAGAAATGTTTGATTGAAATGAAGCCTTGGCAATTTCAAACGCTAGGATACACATTGCTCTGCCAAAATATTTTGTTCAAGATTGGGCATTGCCAAGTAATAGTACTCCTCCCCCTTTTTTTTTTACAACAGTGAAAACAAAACACACCTCTCTCTTTTAGGCACACACTGCCTATTATGAAAATGAAGATACTATATTGAGTGAAAAGTGTTGAGCCTTCAAAAAATGCACTAAATGAATTATCAGCTCTGACTCCTGTAATTGGTCAAGGCTATGAGTCAGCCCTGCAGCACTTTTTAAAATGCACTAAAAACATTGCTCATGAGAAGCCAACACTCATATGAACATTTGAAGCTAATATATCACAGCATGCAGTACGGAATTTGCAATTTGTTTCACAGACAGCCAAAAATTGCTTGCTCTCCGCTTGGCAAACAGTGTAGTTAAAGGGTGGGCATGGCTATTGGCTGATTTCATCATTACGAAAGCATTCTCGATAAAACTTGTTAAGACTTGATTTGAATACAATAAATTAAAAAAATAAAGGCGTGACTCCCTTTCAAAATAAGGACAATTTAACTCCTCTTAGTGCTTTAGAGCTTGATAAATAGTTGTCTGCTTATTGTTTTATTTCGACCTAGCAAACTGCATACTACGCCTGTGCTATTTCAAACATTACGTGCCCGAGTGCATCACTTGTTTCGTACCGCAACCACTACAACCACATTTACCGATTCATTTTGTCATTTCCAAAATAACAGTAATGCTCCTCTGAGTACACTTCGTCTCATCTAAACACTTCCCAGTACTGGCAGACATTGATTGGTGTTTAGCTAATGGAATCTATGAACATGTGAAGCAAATAATAGTGCAGAATACAGCAGGGAATTTGAAATTTTGTTTTACAGGCAGCAAAGTAACTTGCTTTTCTTCAAAGTATGACATTACCAGCTTGACTACTACCTGTCAGTCAACCTGATGCAGGACAAAGCCAGTGAGCACCAGGTATTGTGCGTCACAAAGCTCAGCCAGGCTTTTAACACAAAAACAGTGTGGTAGGACCAGGTAGTGCATGTTAGGCATATACTCTTTCTGCACTCGAATGGCTTAGACTCAAGTTCAACTTCCACTAGCTACCTAGCTTTTGACAACTATTATAATGCGGCTGTGCTGCATGACGAGGTTTAGCCTTTTTTACTTCTTTTTTTCATAACTTGTATTGAGACAGTTTGTCTAAACATATCCAGCTGCACTTGTACAATTGGGATGACAGGTCAGGAATCAGTAGTTTTGAAAGGCAAATCAAAATCTTGAGTTGGTAAGGATGTCGTAGCCCCAACATACTAGTACGAGACAAGTGTTGTGGAAAGAAATTTTAACGTAATAGGGTTAAAGAGCTCGTTTCGGAAAAATTCTGGTGCCGGTGCCGTTAGTTGTGTGTGACCGAAAAATCAAGAAATATTCTAATAAAATAAAAATAAAGAAATCCTGGGAGCGAGTGGGGATCGAACCCTGGACGTTTAAAATTTATAATGACAACCACCAATGCCTATAATATCAGTAATGCACCCACCCTATAACAAAAGTGCCAAGACTTCAGCATGAACAACTTATCATGGCCACGCACCAATGCACACTTAGCTGCCTAAACCCGCAAAGATGGTAGAAAGCATCCACGATTAACGCACCACCCGCCATTCTTAAGAGTGACACATGCGTGAATCCACTGAAGGTGACACATTGACAACCCAAAAGGAAGCAAGCACTATCAAAACCAAACAAGACCTTAAAGACAGCCTCCTGATATAAAAAAACGAACTAATCCACCAATCAAGTAAATTGGGCCAGAAAATCTATAGCACTATTTAACAGAATAGCTATTACTACATACTTAACCAAGAAGCTGCCTAAGTACAAAAAAAACATAACTGAGGAGAGCACAAAACCAGAAACAAAGCTTGATCACCAGTAATTAATTATTGTGGTTTAATATTCCAAAACTATGATATGATTTTGAGGAACGCCGTGGTGGACGACTTTCAGATATTTCTACCACTTGGGGGGTTGTTCAACGCACACCTAAATCCAAGTACATGCACCTCAAACATATTCGCCTCTAACAAAAATATAACCGTAGGAGCCGAGATGCAACACCACAAAAATGCACCAGGTCAGAAACAAGAAGCATACCTACAAGTCATTTAACAATGCCTAAACAACAACCAGCTGCATCAGTGTCACACACTTCCAGTGAGACCCCGCTGATCTAACAGCAGCATGCGGAAGACTCGCCGGCTTCAGCTTTACGTTTAGGCCTGCGACGTCTGAAAGACCTCCAAATGATACATTTCAAATTTATTTGCAAGTCAGTCGACTTGTGCAGGGTTGCACGTGTGGGGATGATTGTGTCTGATCGACGTACTCATAGAGCTGATGCGGACTTTTGATTAAAAACAAACAAGCATTTATTAAATCCAAGGCAAGGCAAAAGATTACAAAAGTTAACTAAGAGAAAAAAACAAAGGTACGCACAGTGAAAAAGAACGCCTATAAAACAAACTATGCTCTAAAATAACACTTCAAGTACAAATATACACAATGCGGTACGTTAATAAAATCACTGGACATGATGGAAACTAAAAGAGATACAAAAATTTAGAAAGGTCGGGCTCGCTTTTCGAAGTTACTACATGTCATGCAGTGTACACATTACAATTATTCAAAGCTGGGTATAATAAATAACGGTTGAAAAAAAAATCCCAATAAAAAGTTCCATACGGATCAGTCTAGCTCGTGGTTCACGTAAGGGAGTTGACGGGGTGCCCACTGATGGTCTCGCCAGCTTATGCAGACGACGAGGGTGCCCGGTGTTGCAGCCGTCTCAATACTGTTATGAATTTGCTCTGTCGCGATGGTAGCGGTGGCGAAGAGCGGCGAGCCGTCGAGCGGACTTCGCTGAAGCCTTAGCCCGAAGGCGAAACAGGGAGGCAATCCGTTTTTAAAACAGCAACAAAAAGGAGCGTTTACTGTCGCAGGTTGTCGCTTGTACAGAGCTGGCCAGCACGACAACGTCGGCTGGGGCAAAATCTCCTAACATGGGGCCGGCTCGGCCTTAAATGGCGTCTTTGGTCCATTCTCTCAGACCAGTTCTCGGGCTCGGAGGGGGAGACGTAGCCATACCCGGAACTGCAAAGTGGTTCGGCGGAGGAAGCGACGTTATCCCCGGAACTGCATGGTTCTTCTGCACGGAAGGCGGCGCTGGGAGGGGGGGGAGACAGTTCGTCGAAACAGGGCTCGATCTTGTGAGGCGTGCTCCCGAACGAGGAACATGTCTGTGGCACAACAGCACCCCCGCCGTCAGACAATGCATCCGGAGTTTTGAGCCGTCAGCGCAGCTCGGAAGGAGGGATGCTGGTTGACCATCGGTAGCCGTTCCGCTCTCTCCGCCCGTTGAGACTTCCATAGGCCTGCACAGGTTCACTGGAACGACGGAGTCGAACACAAAGCCGAACCACTCTGGCCAAAGCAAGCACCCTCCAAATGCTGATCAAATCGCCAGACCAGCAGAAACCAAGTGTTTCCTCGAGATTACGCTAGGCTAACAAATATATAGCATCACGAGCAACGAATCTCGGGGAGGAATACACAATGCGGACACACCTTTAGCTAAGTGTCAGTGCATGACACCGCTAAACCAAACAGAATTTTTTTTGTTTTCAAGCGATTCTCAATTGTAATTTAGGCAGAGTCTGGACGATCGAAGCTGGTGAGTTTAACTCAATTTGGCCACGAATCTACAATTTAGAATACTATGAACACCCGAATCACGCACATTGGCGTCTCTTGCAAGCTTCAGACCACTAAACAAAACAGTCATTCGATAAGTCCTAGCTCAAGGTTCTCAGCGAATAAGCATCCCAACAAAATAAAACACGCTTGAAAAGTAAGAAAATAACAATGAAAATCAAACTTGCGCACGTTAAACCAAACAAAGAGCAAAGTTGACCTACACTGACGTGCATAATAAATGTAAGGTCAAACACAAAAGGTATATTTAAACAGGGGCTTTTACTATGCCTTCTCTGTTAAAATAAAGCACACTAGCCTTTGAAATATTATGAAAACAAATTTAATCGAACAAACATATTAATGTGAGCTTCTGCGATGACAAGGCAAGTAAAACTTACAAAAATTTAGAACCATTCCTTGTTCATCAGCAGACGACAAATCTAGAAAAAGTTATTCTTAAAATTAAATACAAAAAATACACTCTTCGTATTAGTGAGGCGGTACTCTCTCAAGCGAATTCTGGGGAGTCGCGCACTCCCCAGCTTCCGAGGGTTGCGGCCTGGACAAAAGGACAACGAATCAACCTGTTCGCCGAACTCAGTAGTAGCGACTTTTGACCCGCAGCCGCTGGACTCGAAGAAAGGGGCATCTGCGCTGCATCGTTTACGCCACCCGTTCGACCAGTTACCCTTTCGCCACGGTGGGGAACAACCGCTTGTGTTACAGCTCAAGCGCTCGCAACGTTTCCCCATTTGCTTGCATCTACGCGGCAGAGAAAAGGATGAGACCAGGCGGTGATTTCGGCATTCCAATTTCCTTGAAATTTGGTCTTTGTTGACGTGCTTCCCCCCTAATCTCCATCTCAGTGATGGTCTGAGCCTCAAACATTTCCTGCAGGGCCCTTTCGCGATCCTATGCCTAGCCCTGAACCGG